CCCAATAGTCTTCCTCATCTAATAGGATCTAACAGGATCACAATAATCTAGAGATCCCTTTTATTAAATGTATTGGGGTGACATTGGTTAATAAAATTATATAGGTTTCAAGTGTATAATTCTACAATACAGACTTGTATACTGTATTGTGTGTGTCACCATCCAAAGTCAAGTCTCTTACCATCACCATTTATCCCCCTTTTATCCATTTCTACCTTCCCCAACTCCCTTTCCCTCTGGTAATCACCATACTGTTGTTTGTGTCTATGAGTTGAGGTTTTTTTGGCAGGGAGAGCTTAATCCCTTTACTTTTTTCACCTCATCCCTATACCCTTTCCTTCAACACTGGTCAGTCTGTTCTCTGTATCTATGTGTCTGTTAGTTTATTTCGTTCATTAGATTCCACATACAAGTGAAATTATATAGTATTTGTCTTTCTCTGTCTTATTTCATTTAGCATAACACCCTCCAGGTTCATTCATGCATCACATAAGGTAAGGTTTCCTTCTTTTTTATGGCCAAGTAGTATTCCATTGTGTAAATACACCACAACTTTTTTACCCACTATCTACTGATGGGCACTTCGGCAGCTTCCAAATCTTGGCTATTGTAAATAACACTGCAATGAACATAGGGATGCAAATATTCTTTTAAATTAGTGTTTTGGGTCTCTTTGGACATATACCCAGAAGTGGAATTACTGAGTCATAGGCAGTTGAATTTTTAATTTTTTCAGGAAACTCCCTACTATTTTGCACAGTCCCACCAACTGTGCACAAGGGTTCCCTTTTCTCCACATCCTTGCTAACACTTGTTTCTTGATATATTAATGACAGTCATTCTGACAGGTGTAAGATGATATCTCATTACTGTTAAAATCTGTATTTCTCTGATGTCAGAAAATCTTCATAGCCCAATTAAAACTAATTAAATTGAAAAAGTAATTAAAAAAAAAAAAAACTCCTGGACCAGATGGCTTCACAGCTGAATTTTACCAAATATTCAAAGAATTAACACCTATTGTTTTCAAACTATTCCAGAAAGTTCAAGAGAAGGGAAAACTCCCAAGCTCATTTTATGAGGCAAGCATTATCCTAATTTCAAAACCACACAAAGACACTACAAAAAAAAAATTATAGGCCAATATCCCTGATGAACAAAGATGCTAAAATCCTCAACAAAATATCAGCAAACTGGAACCAGCAATAAATTTAAAAGATCATATGATACATAGGATGGAGTGGGATTTATTCCAGGGATGCGAGGTTGGTACAATATTCACTAATCAATAAATGTGATACACTCCATAAACAAAAAGAAAGATAAAAATACTATGATCATACCAATAGACGCAGAAAAAGCATCAGATAAAATCTAGCACCCATTCATGGTAAAAACTCCCAACAAAGTGGAAATGAAGAGAACATACTTCAACGTAATAAAGGACACAGCCAACAGTCATATTCAATGGGCAAAAACTGAGAGTGTTTCCCTTAAGATCAGGAACAAGACAGGGATGTCGACTTTCACCACTCTTCATAATACTGAAGTCCTTGCCACATAAGTAAGACAAAAAGAAATAAAAGGCATCCAAATTGGAAAGGAAGAAATAAAACTGTCATTACTTGCAGATGACACAATACTTTACATAATATAGAGAACCCCAAAGATTCCACCAAAAAACTGCTGTGACTGTTAAATGAATTCAGTAATGTACCAGGATACAAAATAAATATCTAGGAATCTGTTGCATTTTTATACACCAATAATGAACTATCAGGAAGAGAAACTAAGAGGACCATAACATTCACAATTTCAAAAAAAAATTACCTAGAAATAAAATTAACAAAGGATGTAAAATACCTGTAGTCAGAAAATTGTAAGACACTGAAGAAAGAAACTGAAGAAGATACAAATAAGTGGAAGCTGTGTTCATGGATTGAAAGAATTAACACCATTAAAATGTCCATACTACCCAAAGCAATCTATAAAATCAATGCAATTCCTATCATGTTACCAACAGTGTATTGCACAGAACTAGAACAAGTATTCCAAAAGTTTGTATGGAATCACAAAAGATCCTGAATAGCCACAGAAATCTTGAGAAAGAAGAACAAAGTTGGAGGAAGCACATTACCTGTTATCAAACTATACTACAAGGCCATAGTGATCAAAACAGCACGGTACTGGCATAAAAACAGGCCCACGTCAGGGAGCACACAGAATACAACCAATCACTGTTCTATCTCAAGGGTATGAAGCATCTGTTTAATAAGTATGTCTATTACAATGAAAATAAGAATTTTATGTGTCCTGGTCTGAAAGTGGCCTCAAACAACAGGTTCATTTTATGAATACTACAAGTAAGAACTGCACTCTCAAAAACAAAGTTATCTTTCACAGCAGTCCTGCCCTTCTCTCCCAGCCCCATTTAACTGGTTCATGCATAACTACTCCATATTGTATGAACTTTCTTACTTAAGGAAGGAGTATTGCAACAAAATTTCATACCAGGAAGTTAAGTGAGCACACACCACTCCTGAGATTTTTTCCTTTGATCCCAGTTACCTGTGTAGGAACTCCTGCTTTGAAAATGGAAGGCCCAGATTTTCCTGGACCTGCTCTATAGCAAAAAGCTTTGAGGCTTTTCCAGTTCCTGTTTCTAAAAGTGTTAGTATGAGACTAAAACTGCTTTTTAAGAAAATTTGAACCATACCTAGAGGAAAGCTGTTATCGGGCATGTTTGTTTTTCTGATCATTTCATGCCAGCACCTGGAACTCAGTGCCTGGCACAAAGAACCCACAATACAAATGTGTACAAAAATGAAAGAAGGAAGAAGGCAGGGTTTTTATTAGATGTCTTAATTTTCACCTCTAGGTGGGAGTTATTTCAAAGCATATATTTGTGCCTTTGATCAGTAAGAAAATAGTAATAGCTACCGTCAAGGACTATCCTTATCCAATCAATCCAAGACCACCAGGGTTCAACAACATTTAACAACAGTCACTTTACTGACTTACTGCAATGAGAGAGCTGCTCCATGGCTCCTTGCAAACATTATCTCTAAGACTCATAACAACCCTAAAGGTTGTTTTATTGCCCTAATTTTACTCATCAGGAAATTACAGCTCAGAAAAGGATCCTTCCTCAAAGTCACATGGCTAATAAATCCTTATCCATCTAACCTCAAAACCCTCACAGAGAAACTCAGAATATCTATACCCCAGGCCTGGGCCAAGCCCATAAAATGTTCCTTGAGACACTGTAAGCCAGTGGTTCACAATTTTTTTTTTTTTTAACTATAGGAGGAAACTTTGCTTCTTGCAAATAAATTCTTGCTAAAACCATAAAGAGACACATATTTGAAGTGCAGGATGATGCCCTCCTTGATCTGTCCTTAGCCACTGAGGCAAAGGCAATGAGTGCTACTGTATGCTTTTAAATCTTTAATTCAACTTAATCAGACATGCTCTCTGCATCTGCACATCACTTTTTTCAAAGCTCTTTCAAAAGGTGTGCAGACAGAACCTTCCTTTATACTCAGACAGGAATGATTCACCACTGCACAGCTCTATAGCTCCACCATTCCTAGCTGAAGGAACAGCAAAAGAAAATAAATGGAGGTTGGACAGGAGGGAGAATTTGAGAAAAGGCATTTATATGAGGTGGCCTAAGCCCGTGGCTTGAGTGACTGGTCTGGGGCCAGATCAGGTCAGGAATGACCTGAGGAACACGCTGCAAATGGCCTTCAGTGTCATACTAAGCACTATGAACTTTTGTTTTTATGCAAAATTAAGTGGATGAATGATATGATTAGATCACAAGTATGCCTAAGAACAGACTGATTGTTTTAAAGGATTTGATAAATTCTAATTTGGTTCAAAATATAGGTTGATATAAATGCAAGTATCTGTGTAGTTTATAAATTAAAATGGCATCTAATGTGACTATTTCAGAGTACCTAGGAGGCCTGAGACAGCAGGACAAGTTTTTTTCGTGTTGCTCAGTCTTTCCTGCCAGGATCTGTGTCAGGTCAAGTGACATAGACATGAGGAGAAGGTCATCTCTGCAAGGAACCTTGATGGACATACCTACATGGACAAGAGGTTGGTCAGAGCCCCTGTGTAGGCTGAGAGATGAGCAGTACATGGGAGCAAACTCACAGCATGTGACACACTGTCTGCTGGCTCCTCAGTTACTCCTAGTAGCTATGCAAGTGATTATACCACAGGTGCATCAGATTTACCCACTCAGCCCTCCTTTTCCTGCTACTTTCCAGCTAGAGGTGGCCTTGTGATCCAGTCCTGGTCAGTGAGATGTAAGCATAGTCAGGCAGCTAAGTGGGGCTTCTGGGAAAGCTTTGGCCTTCCTCCTTAAAAGGGTCACTCTTAATGACTACAACCCTCCATGCTTCATCATTCTCATTCTTGCCAGGGCCACAAGCCTTGGTGCCTGGAGGCCCCATTCCCACCTTGAGACCATGAGGTGCTGAGCATGAGATTGACAATATGCTAAGGAAGGTGGCACACAGAGAAGAGAAAGTACCTGGATTCCTGGCAACCTCTATCAGCAACTGCATCAGCCCTGAACCACCTACTTTCAGATATCTTGTCACTGGAACTATATAAATCCATAATTATTTAAGTTACCAGAGTTGGATTTCTGTTACTATCAGTCAAACGCACATCTAATTGAGGTGACAGATTCTCTGTGACCTCAATTAGACTCTCTGGTGACTCCCTGAGATTGCTTTTACCCAAAAGTAAATGCTTTCTCTTGGAAGAAATAGGGTTTTCCTCTATTAGTCACTGTCCCCAACACACACCGAGAATTTGCCTCACTAGAAAACTGAACTGCCACACAGCCCACTGTATGGTCCCAGAGCACATTAAGGACCTGTATCAACAAGCTCATGTCTTTAAAAGAAGAGTGTAACATGCAAGGTTAGGAAAACAAACATCCCAAGCTATGAAAATAACATATTTCAGTGGCACTCTACCTTAGAAATGCAACTTGAATGACTCATGGAATGTCCCAAAGTCTTCTCATTCTGCAAGAAAACCAAATAGATGATTAAAATGTGCAAGGAACAAGCAACTGTTCAAAAGAATCCTACTGACAAATCATTCTCTCAACTAGAATTTGCTGAACACAAACGTCTGGGTCAGCTAACAGACACTGGAGAATTTGGAAAATGCATCAAACAATAGTCTCTGCCCTAAAGGAACTTAACAGGAAAAAAAAAAAAACAAAACCACCCAGGAATTTGGAACTAACTGTAAAAATAAGAGGGTACTAAATGTATTATGACACATTCAAATGGAGGTTCAGAGCCAAAAAAACTATGTTCAATTGCATGAGGTATAGTCCAATGTATGAGGACTCCTGTAGGATGGGGAAGAGAGGAGAGCTGACCCCACTCAGTTCATTTGGTTGTCAGTGTTAGGTACTTAATAGCAATATCTGCACAGTTCACATCTATTCCCTCAAGCCTGTTTCTCCTCTTGAATGAGAGAAATCTGAGTCATGCTAGCTTATTCCCTCTCACAACTCTCCACAGTTCAGTCACAAAGTCTTATATCAAATTCTTCCTTCTCAACATCTCTCAATCTCAAATATCATCTTCATTTCTATTGTCAAAGCATTAGTTGAGGTTCTCTTCATTTCTCAAGTAACTCTTTGGTCTTTCTGCTTTTACATTAACCTTCCTAAGACATAACTGTTATCCACTGAATTGTGTTCCCCCAAAATGCATATATTGACGTCCTAATCCCCAGTGCTCAGAATGTGACTATATCTGGAGATAGTGTCTTTAAAGAATTAATTACATTAAAATGAGGTCAGGTTATTAGGGTGGGCCCTGACCTAATATGAGTGGTGTCTTTATAAGAAGGGGAAATTAGGACACAGATACATACAGAGAGAATACCATATGAAGACACAGGGAGAAGAGAGCCATCTACAAGCCAAGGAAAGAGGCCCCGGAAGGAACCAAACCTGCTGACACTTTGATTTCAGACTTTTAGCCTCCAGACTGTTAGAAAATCCCTGTTGTTTAAGCAATGCTATCTGTGGTATTTTGTTCTGGCAGTCCTAGCAAATGAATACAATAATCTTTCACACTATAACTTTTTAAAAAATTAGTATTCCAAATGTCAATCTAATTTTAAAAATAAGAAAGTAACTTTCCCTGAAACAACTCACCCTTGCTCTAAACCCAAATTAAAAAAAAAATATTACAAATGGAAGACATGATGTTTCTTCTTTTTTGAGATTATCTATTCTCTATTTAGGTAACATTGGTATGCAATTAGCACAGGAAGACCAGAGAAGGTTGAGATGTAATTAAGCAGGTAAAAGGGGAGAGGGAGGGAGGTCTGATCCACATGAAAACCAGCGTGGCTTAACAATCAAGATGTTCTAAGTGCTTTCCAGATGGTCAAATAAATGAAGGATTCTGCCCATTCCAACAACAAAGCTGGGGACAAAGATGCCAGTCACAGCCTCCCTGAAGAGAGAGTCACCCCAGGTCTGCATGCCTCCCTGCACTCTTTCTCACAGGGTGCCAGGTTCCAGCAGTGCCCTGCTCCTCCCTTTTGTGAGTTGTTGAATTGTGCCATCCAGGCTGGCTCTCGGAATAAATAACTCTAAGTTAAGCCTGCCTCTATCAGAAGCATGTTTCATACTTTGCACAGCACTTAGCAGACAGAGAAAGAAAAAGAAGAGTAGGAGTGAAGAGACCAACTGAAACATACAGCACTGGATGATCAAGGCTGTACTTAAAGCAGTGAAAGAGTGAAAGTGGAGGACTGACGTATTCTAGTCAGGGGTCTAAGCCACACCCTGGTTTCTATCTGTGCGTCTACAAGACGGGGATACAACACGAGTGAGAGAGACAGCGGGGCTTGCCATGCACACAGTTTGCTTGACAAGCCTGAGGGAAACCGAGAATACGTACACAGTGAGCAGTGTGCAGTGTCATACTGTGACACCTGAACACCCAGGAACAGAATCAGTTTTACAGGGAAAACCCGCAAAATCAGTCATTTATGACATTAGGAGCTATAAACAAATGACAAAACCCATTATCAATACAGAGTTTTACATCTTTTTAGAAAACAGCTATGGGGGATTCCTAAGTTTTAAAAAGCACCTTTTTCTATCCCAATTTAACATTATGCTCACATGGCAAAACCCTTGAGGCATTCTAATTAAACTTAAAAGTGAAATAAGCACATTACCACTACTATTACTTAATACATAGAATTTTTTCCTGCTGTAATAACTCTTAAAAATAAGAAGAGAACTTTATAATACCATGAAAGAGAGGCTGTCAGTTGTTAAGGAGAGAATAGAGACAGGAGGAAAGAGGTGTAACTATATGAAAGTAACTGAGGGGTCCTTGAGATAATGGATCTGTACCTTCACTACATCAGTGTTAATATACTGGTTGTGATATTTTAATATTGCTTTGTAAGATGTTATCATTGGGTTAAAGTACAAGGAGGGAGTCAAAAAACCCTGGAATTCATTTAATAAAAAAATGTATTTTTTTTTACGTGTTTGAACTGCAGTCATCTTCCAAGTATTCTCCATTTGATGTGATATATTCATGGAAACTTTTTCTCACCACTCAGAACAGTGTTTTAAACTTGTCAGTTTTTATACCTTTTAGTGATTCTTCCATTTTTTGTTTCACCTCTTCCACATCAGCAAAATGTTTCCCTTTGAGGATTGTTTTCATCCGAAGAAACAACAAAAAAAAGTCTCTCAGGGCAAGATCGGGTGAATAGGGAGGATGAGGCACGGGATCATAACCTTTTTGGTCAAAAAGGTCTGAACATTCAGTGGGGTGTGGGCAGGTGTGCTTGTAAATCACCCATCGTGAAATGAGCAAATGCATTTAAAGAGCCTTTAAAAAAATTTACTGAAGCCCAACACAGCCTCTTACAACAACGCCAGTTGGTACACTGATACAAATGGGTTCCTAAGACACACACCTAGGGGTGGAAGCCTGTAGTATAGGGAGCCTGCTCTCGAGTAGATAATTCCAGGGTTTTTTGGGTTCCCCCTCATAGATAAGAGGACATGAAATATTTCTGTTTCATCTTTTACAACTACTTGTGTGAATCTGTAATTTACAGTAAGTAAACATTAGGTCATTCAGATGACCAAAATATATTTCTCATATATATTTGGTCATTGTCTAGTTCCTGGCTCACAGCTCCCAAAACCATTGGAATTAACTTTTGATAATGTTAAAGGTGTGTTTTGTTATGTTAACGAGGTGACTTTTGGAAAGTACCTAAGAATGGGAGCTGATTGCCAATGAAGCCAACTCCCTGATCAGAAGGTTGGAACTTTCAGTCCTATCCTCTGAACTCCAGAGAGGGGAAAGGGGGTGAAGACTGAATCAACTGCCAATACCAATGATTTAATCAATCATGCCTATGAAATAAAGCGTACATAAAAATCTAAAACGGCAAGGTTGGAAAGCTACTGGCAGGTTAAAAATAAGAGAGGGAAAAAAGATACACCTTGCAAACAAAGTAAAAATATCCAAAACATGGAGGCCATCCCAAAAGTCCATCAATGAATATACTGATAAACAAAATACAGTATTATCCACATAATGGGATACTTTTTATTCAGTCATAAAAAGTAATTAAGTATTGATACATTCACAACATGGATAAACTTTGAAAACATTATGCTAAGTGAACGGAGGCAGATACAAAGGTCACATATTACATAAAATATCCAGAATAGATAAAACTATAGAATTAGAAAGTAGACTGGAGATTGTCAAGGGCTGGGGAATAGGAACATTAAGTGTTAATGGGTACATGCACTTACATCCTGAGTACTAGAGCCTCTGTCCCTGTAGAATTGAGGTATGCCATCCTCCTCAAACCCTGCTGCCTAAGAGTTTTTAATAAAGGTTTCATTATGTAGGCATGATTGATAAAATCACGAGCCACTGGTGGCTGAACTCAATCCCTGGTCCCTCTTTACTCCCTGGAGGTTAGGGGAATGGGGCTGGAAGCCCCAACCTTCTAGTCACGTGGTTGGTTTTTCTGGTGAGTAGACCCCACCCTGAACGTTTCTAGGGGACCACCAAGAGTTAATTCATTAGCATAGCTTCAGGTTTGGAGAAAGGGGTTTATTATGAAAAGAAAAAATACTCCCAGAGCTAAGAAGATTCCAAGAATTTTAGGAGTTCTATGCCAAAAACAGGTTACAAATCCAGCTCTCTGTATTTGGTGGACTAAACTGCTAGGTTTTTGCAAATCTGAAGGGCTATACTATTACTCAGCCCCTAAATCAGTGACTCCAAGACTTTGAACTTCATGATCAATCAAGTTTCAAAAGACATTCAGAAATGTTTTACTCTGCCAAATCCAGACAGTTAAAAAAAAAAAGCATCATCATGTCATAAAAGAGAGAATAGTTCACTACCAAAAGAGACTTTAATTAAAAGCTAGACAGAGTGGAAGATGGTGGTTAAGTAGGTGGAAGCAAGTTCACTTACTCTTGCACCCAACTCAGGCACTTAGGTGAACTTCTGAAAAATAAATTGAACAGTTGATGGACTCTTAGCTGATATGAAGTTTGGAAGCCAGAGTACAGAAGATGCTTCAAAATGGGTGATTAGGAGGTTTTATAGGTCGATGGGGAAAATCCCCAGGCATGGCACCAGCAGCCACAGCAACTGCATCTGTGGAGAGCCTGGTCAAAGATAGCAGCTTAGCACTTCCCTCCCCTCCCAGGGCAGGGAATCCCCAGACCCAGGCCAGGAGCAACTTGAATACACACTCATCAGGGAGATCCAGGCTACTCATGCACACAGCAAGCGGCACACCCATAGTTGCAGCGACAAACACCAACAGGGAGAGTGCCAGAGAGAGACAGAGAGATACTGTCTGTAACTGGATCTGGTGGAGAAGGACAGCTGCGGCCAGCTGTGACTGTGACAGACTCTTGACTTTTTGGACAGGCGGTATGTACAGAAAGCTGAACAATGACAGCACTGCAGTGGGGAACCCGGAG